GGCACGGGCACTGACCTCTCTCCCTGTTCTCTCCCTGTTCTCTCCCTGTTCTCTCCCTGTTCTCTCCCCTCTCCGTGCACCCAGGAAACACAACCCGCCCTCTCCCCACTGGTGAGCTGCCAACCCCCCCGTGTGTGCCCAGCCTGGCTCCTCAGTGTCCCCGTGTGCCCCAGGCAGCTCCCCAGGGCCGGCTGGCACAGGGCCCGTGTTTGGGAGGGGGAGATGGGCACCCCCTGGCCCTGGGAGGGGGAGATGGAGACCCTGAGAGCAGCCCGGTCCATCTCCTCCCTCCGGGCTTCCTGGGCAGTGCCCTGGGCACCCCTGTGCTGTCCGTGCCCCCGGGGAATTCGGGCAGGGCGGGTGTCCCCCAAAAGTCCTGCTTTGGGGTGGGAGCAGCGAATCCCTCCGTGCTGCAGAGCCAAGGGCAGGGTGGAGGTGGGAGCGTGGCTGGGTGGGCACCCCCACCCTCCCAACACGGGGTTTCATGCCCCAAAAGCCCCCCCGGAGGTGCCTGGAGGGCCCGGGGGGGTTGGGGGTGTCTGGGAGGGGCTGGGCCGGGAGGGTCCTGCTGCTGCTCCTGCCCAGCCCCTCGTCCTCTGTGCTGGGCTGGGCAGAGCTGTGGTGCTCTGAGGGCTCGGGGGGTGCTGGGGCAGAGCTGTGCCGGGTTCCCTGTGCCCTGGTGCCAGGAAGGGGCAGATCTATTCGGGGATGTTCTCACTGGACCTTTTCTCCCCCTGCAGCCTCCGCCTCCGTCCCTCTGCCCTTGGTCGTTGCCTCCGCCCTGACGGCGATCGGGGTCGTGGCTCTTTTAGTCGCTCTGTTCTACTGCAGATCCAAAGGTGAGCTGAATCCCCTTTGGAAAACCATCCCTGGAGCCCTGGCAAGCAGGAGATGGGGCCTGAGAGGGGAGGACTCAGCACCCAGGGGCCGATTTGGGGCCGCTGCTGACGGTTCCCTGTGTCCCTTCTCCCCCAGGCTGGAGGATTTTCCGTTTGTCTGCGGCCGAGGCCACGGACACAGGTAGGATTTGGGGGATGTTCCTTCCCTCCCCCTTTTTCCTGCTGGGAACAGCCTGGTCACGTTTAAGATCAGGAGGGAAATCCTCCACTGCCATGGCTTGGTGCCAGAGCATTCCCTGGCTGAGGGACCTCCCTGGAGGGGAGGGAAGGGGATGATCCCGGGGGATGTCACCGTGGCTGGAGCCAAACTCTCCCTTCCCACCAGAAAACTTCCAGCCAGGCCAGCAGGAAGGGATTGAGAGCAGAGCTGTGAGGTCATGAAAGCCAGAGGGATCTGAGGGAAAGAAAAGAGCTGGAAAGAGAGACCTGGGAGGGCAGAGACGAACCAGGAGCTCGGCTCTGCCACTCGGGGTTGGCCCAGCCGAGAATTCCAGAATCCCAGGATCACTGAGGTTGGAAAAAAAACTCCCAAGGCCATCGAGTCCACACTTTCCAGCAAGAAATTCCTCCTCGTGGCCAAGCTGAGCCTCCCCTGGCACAGCCTGAGGCCGTTTCCCTTTGTCCTGTCACCAACAAACCCCATGGAAGGAGAGACCACCGGAGCAATTCCCCCCTCCCTGGAATCCAGGGCTGGGCCATTCCCACCTCTGCTGCGGCTGAGCCAGTGCCAAAATGCCTTTGAGGTGGTTTTTAGGCTGCTTTTTGTCCATGGGGGGTTTTTTATTGTTCCCCTGACCCGAAATAAAGCTGCTGCCTCGTGTTTTCCACCCGCGCGTTTCCCGGTGGGATGTCGGGGCTCACTCAGCTGAGGCTCCTCAGGGATGGAAACTTGGATCCAGCTCTTCCACAGGGAACTCTGGAGCCCATGTGGCTCGTTCTCCCGCGCTTCAAACGAGCAATTTTGACCCAAAAATGAGATTATGGAGGATTTAAATCCTCTCTGCTCCCCTCGGTTCCGTGAGCTGGGCGTTAATTCCCTCTGCAAGGCGTGAAGGAGAGACAAACGCAGCCTGTCCTCTGGAAACATCCAAGGATTTTGGGGGATTTAAACAAAACAAGCTGATTTTGGCTGTCCTTTGAGCCGGGAGCGAGTGTCCCACAGGAGGATTCTGGGATGAGATCAGGATACCTCGACCCAGGTCGGCAGTAAAACCCCCGAGGGGCTCCCAGGAGCTGCAGGATCAGGATTTCTCCTGAGCCTGGGTGCCTGTGGCCGGAATTCCCTCCTTCCCTGGGCAAGGAGCATCCAGGGGGATCCTCTGCAGCCTCTCCCTCCTTGCAGGGGCTTTTTTCCTGCTCTTTTCTCCTGCTCTTTCCCTCCTTGCAGGGGCCAGGCAGGAGCTGACGACCGTGTATGCCCAGGTCAACCCCTGCCAGCAGGTGAGGCTGGATCCCATCTCAGCCCTGGGTTGGGGTTGAATTCCAGGAATTACAGAGGTCTGGGATTAAATCCTTTCGTCTCACAGCTTCTGACGGTGGCACATCAGGTCTATTTATGTGAACTGAATTATTTATCACCAGAAATGAATGAACAAACGAGGGAAGGGATGAAAGATCATCAGAGTTATTTATCACTCGTGTAAAAGTTAAAAACTGCTGGTATAAAATAGTGTAAATAGTGTAGTATAATAGTGTAAATATTATATAAATAACCATATAAATATGGTATAATAGAATTAATTACACTACATTAACTTTATTAATAAACATTATTAATGTTAATAATTAACAATACAAATATTATCATTATTATTTATATTAATTAATAATGTTCATCAATACACTATTAATAATATAATACTGTGTTATATGTTAATAATTTTAGTGTTTGCCTTCCCTGGCCGGATGCTGGGCCGGGCACAGAACCCTTATCAGGGCAGAGCAGGATGCCCCAGCAGGGGAAGGAGGGTGACAACCCCTGGCTTTGTCTGCTGGGGTTTTTTTGGGAGCTGGAAGGGGGATGTGCCAGCTCTGGGAAGGGCCTGGGGGCAGCTGGCACGGCCTGGGCTTCCCAGGGCACCCCCAGAGCTCTGCCCCCAAAATCTTGGCTCCCCTTCCAGAGGGAGGGGGCAGAGAATCGCAGGGTCATGGACTGGGTTGGTTTTGCAGGGATCTTAAAGCTCACCCAGTGCCACCCCCTGCCACGGGCAGGGACACCTTCCACCATCCTAAATTGCTCCAAGCCCCCTCCAGCCTGGCCTTGGACACTGCCAGGGATGGGGCAACACCTCCAGGGGTGGATCACTGAGGGATCTCTGGCTTTGGGGGTCTCTTTGCCGACACCCAGCCCTGTAAAAATGATTTAAAAAACCTTTTTTTTCTCCCCAGAACGTCCCTAATGCAACAAGAGACAACCCGAGGGTGCCGGGGGAGGAGAATTCCACAACCATCTACGCCACAGTCAAGGCTCCAGCCCAGGTGAGTTGGGACTCGTGGCATCTCCAGGAGCTGGGAGACATGGAATGGGGGGAGAGATGGAATAGGGGAGACATGGAATAGGGGAGACATGGAATAGGGGGAGATATGGAATAGGGGGAGACATGGAACAGGGTGAGACACGGAATAGGGTGAGAGATGGAACAGGGTGAGACATGGAACAGGGTGAGACATGGAACAGGGTGAGAGATGGAACAAGGGGAGACACAGAATAGGGTGAGACATGGAATAGGGTGAGATACGGAACAGGATGAGACATGGAATTCCTGGAGCTCAGGACACAGAACAGGGTGAGACATGGAATAGGATGAGACCAGGACACAGAACAGGGTGAGACATGGAACCCCTGGAGCTCAGGACATGGAACAGGGTGAGACATGGAACCCCTGGAGCTCAGGACACGGACAGAGGGGTCTCCACTTTGCTCCCTGGGGACGAAGCCCGTGTGTCCCTCACCCAGGGAGGAGGGACGAGCTCCCCCGAGCCCCAGCAAAGCTGGTGCCCCTTTGCCCTTGCAGACGGACGATGAGAAGATGGGCAGCACCACACTGGGGGACCAGGAGGTGGAGGAGAAGAGCATCTACTCGTTGGTTGTGTAGAAGGACCCCACAGCTCAGCTCCAGCACAGCTCCCGGCCCCTCCCGAGCGTGGAGCTCCTCCTCCATCCCCTCCTCGGCGCTGCTGCCTCCACTTCACCCCCGGCAGCGGGTCCTGCGTGGGAGCAGGGGGGTCAGGAAGGGTGTCAGCACCCGGAGGATGTGAGCCCCGAGGGAGGATGTGACACCCTGCAAGCGCAGCCTCGTCTGCTGCGGGAGCTTTGGGGAGCTCTGCCCTTGTTTTCGGCAGCCACGTGGGGTTTGAGCTCCCTTTTTCTACCTTCTTTGGCCAAAACCGTGGCTGCTCGTCCCGGGGACAAGGACTTGAGGATTTTGGAAGCCTTTTCCAACCTTAATGAGTTGGAAAAAAACCCCAAAAAACTGACTGAGTGCCGCGTCCAGTCGTCCCTTGGACACCTCCAGGGCCGGTGACCTCCCCAGGCAGCCCCTTCCGAAGTTTGAAAACCCTTCCCCTGAAGAAATTCCTCTTGATTATTTTGTTACGTTTCTATTTTTCTCCCTTTTTTTTTTTTTTTTTGCTCTGCTTTCGAAATTGCAAAATACTTCGGCTTCTTCATTTTTTGCTAAAGGGAAGATCTAAAAATACCCCTGAGAAGCTGAACCTTCCCCCGCCACACCTCGGCCGCGGTTTCGGCACCTGCCGCCCTCCCCCATTTTTGGGGACCATCCAAAAACCTCGCAGCACCCCCAGCACCGAGCCCAACACCCCCAGTGCCCTGTGGGGCCGTGCTGGGATCCGGGAAAAGACAGTCTGGGCTCGGAGGAAAACGGGATGAGGGCTGGGATTGATGCTGTTCTGCCCCTTTGATGTGTGAGGTTTTGTTCTTGGACGAGGTGTGAATTGTTGTGTTGTGGGTTCCCAGCCTGGATTTAGGGAGCAGAGCTGCTCTCCCAGCCCATCCCACCCTCCCCCGCTCCTCAAACCCACCCGGAGCCGGTGGCTGAGCCCCCAAAACCCTCCCTGGCATCGATTCCCCGATGCCTCCGGACAGAGGGACTCCGGGAACCCTCTTCCTGCTCGTGCCCCTTTTCCTCCTGCTCTTTGTCTCGCCTGGTGAATTATTCAGGGATGAAACCGGAGACGCCTTTGAAGTCGCCTGGCACGGGCAGGGCCCTCCGGGAGCCGCTGGAATAAAAAACGCCAGAGCTCCCGTTCCTGCCTGCATCTCATTTGGGGTGAAAACAGCCCGTTCTTGACGGGAGTAATCTGTGTTTTCTCCGCGTTTTCCCAGCCCGTGACGGGGCTGGTTTCGGGCTCCTCCTCTTCACACCGACCCATTAAAAGCGCAGCCCGCGCGTTTTCCGAAGGGATTTGCCCGCGTGGCACCAAATCTGCCCTCGGAACCCCGATGCTCAGCTCGGACCGGGCTCAAAGCAGCGCTGGCGGCTCCAGGGAGGGGCCCGGAGGGAGCCGGGGAGGAGCTGGAGAGGAGCTGGGGAGGAGCTGGATCATCATCACCCCCTCCCTGCCCTTTCCCTGCCACTCCCAGAAATGACTCCCCGCGCTGATTTTGGGGCCGTTAATCACCCCGGTTTCACCTTCGAGCTCGCGGGAAGCAAAAAAAAAAAAAAAAAAAAAGGGGAAGGAAGATGTTGCAGAAGGGGCGGCGGTGGGGGAGGAGAGCAGGATGGAGCCGAGGGGCTGCGGGACGAGGTGGCTCTGCCTCGCCCTGCTCTGCTCCGGGGCTGGTGAGTGGGGCTGGGAGGGGAGGGGGAGGAGGAGGAGGAGGAGGGGGTGATGTGGAGGCAGAGGGTGCAGCACCCCCAGGCCTCCCCAGGGACCCCCTTTGCAGCAGGGCAGGGGGGACAAGGCTCAGGTGTCACCACTTGGCTCGGGGTTTGGGGGCCTCCTGAGCTCTCCCAGCACTGAGCTGGGCCTAAAACCTCGCCTGCCCCTCCCCAGGCCCAGCCTCGGGGGTGCTTGTTGAGCTTTTTTGCTTAGGCTTGGTTTTGTTGGGACTTTGGTTTAATCATGGGGGGATTCTTGGCAGGGCCCAGGAGTTGGACCCGGGTGATCCTCGTGGGTCCCTCCCAGCTCAGCATTTCCCACGATTTTATGATCCAGCTCCATCTATCCTCTGATATCCCATTATTTTATGATCCAGCTCCATCTATCCTCTGATATCCCATTATTTTATGATCCAGCTCCATCTATCCTCTGATATCCCATTATTTTATGATCCAGCTCCATCTATCCTCTGATATCCCCCAATTTTAAGATCCAGCTCGGGGGTGTTTTTTTGGTATTTTAAGATCCTCTGCTCGGGGACCCCATTTCACCACCACAGTCCCCACCCCCCTGGTGCCACCAGTTGTTGCTCAAGCCCCAGAGCTGCTGAGTTTCCGACCAGCTTGGAAACTCAGCAGCTTGGGCCCCCCCAGAAACCACCACGGCACCGTTGGCCCAGGGTTTGGTTTGGTTGGGGGGGGTTTGTCTGGGGGGGCTACTCAGGTGTGAACAGGGCAGGATGTGGGTTCAGCAGCCCCCTCGAAGCATCCTGAGCTGGCAGGGACCCAAAAGGATCATTGATTCCAACCCCCCTGGCCCTCCACAGACACCCCAATGATCCCATTCTGTCCCTCAGGGCATTGTCCAAACCCTCCTGGAGCTCTGGCAGCCTTGGGGCTGTGCCCACTGCCCTGGGGAGCCTGGGCAGTGCCCAAAACCCACCCTCTGGGGGAAGAACCTCGTCCTGAGGTCCAACCTATTCCTGATATCCCACCTGCCCCTGCCCTGGCACAGCTCCAGCCCTTCTCTGGGTCCTGTCCCTGCTCCCACAGAGGTTGGAGCTGCCCCTCAGGAGGGGCTGCAGCCCCCGAGGACTCCCCTCGGTCTCCTCCAGCCTGAACAGTGACCAAGTGACCCCAAGTGTGGCCCCCCCAGACCCTTCACCCTCCAGGCCACATCCCTTCAGCCCCACACCTCTGTCCCAAAGTCCCCTGAGCTGGAGGGATGTGGGGCAGTGTTTCCTTTCCTCACCCATGGGGGAGTTCTGAGTTAACGACCCTCGTTCCCAGCTCCAGGTTTCCAGGAGGAGGAGCCCCCAGGGAACCGAAGCGTCACACGGCAGGATGTCACCCTGGAGACAACTGGGGACCCCCTGGAGACAACAGGAGACCCCCTGGACACCACAGGCCCCACCACAACTCCCAGGGATGTGCCCACCCCGAGGACGTGGCCGACGGACCCCCCGAGCCCTCCCTGGACCCCCGTCCCCAGCCGAGCCACCAGCAACCAAACCCGTGAGTCCCACGGAGAAGAGAAGGGATGTGCCACCAATCCTGGGGGATGTGCCACCCCCCCGGAGGGTCCTGCACTCCCTGAGCCCCCCAGGGTGCCCGTCACAGCCCCCCCCAGACCCACAGCCCCCGTTTCTCCCCGCAGAGAGCTCGTCGGGTGTTCCCGTCAGATATTGGTCCCCCGTCATCTTCGTGGTGGTTGCTCTGCTCGTGCTCTTCTTCACCTACCACAGGAAAAAGGGGGAAGGTGAGATCTCCCCCCTGAGCATCTCCCCCCTTCCCCTCGCTCAGCTGGGCTGGCAGGAAAGAGTGGCCTCTCAGCCACATCCTCAAAATACTGAGAAGTGTCACAAAAACTCGGGTTTTTTGTAGAAAACCACGAAGGGGGGTCCCGGTCATGAGCCCACCGGCCAAAATAAAAAATCCCCTTTGGCCACAGCTGAGCCCTGTGAGGTTCCCCCTCGCTGGGATCCAGCTCTGAAAGTCCAGAAGTCCCAAATTCCCATCTGTGCTGAATTTTGGATTTCTCGGTTTCTGCTCTGCCCTTTCCCTCCCCTTGGGGTTTCTCCTCTGTGTTCACACAAATCTGGGGCTTGGGGTTTTTTTTTTATTTTTTTTCCCCTCCTGCAAATCAATCACAACTGGACCTTGGCAGGTTATTCCCAAGAGGGTCTTGGTGGGATTTTCCCAATTCCTTTTGGTCCTGCTGTTGTAACCCCCGTGTCTGTCCGGGCCCACAGGGAGCCGGGACCAAGCCGTGGCTGGCAGTGACTCCTCAGGTGAGATGGGATCCATCCAGGCTGGGAATGAGCAGATGGAGAAGGATTTCCATGATTTCCAGGGGGGTTTCCCTGCTCCATCACTGACTCCCCCTTGCCTTGCAGATTTGGGGGTCCTGGACCACCCCCCTGCCCATGACACCACCCCGATAATCACGGCCCCCCAGGTGAGCCCTGGGCACTGGGACAGGGATCCTCTCCTGGGAACTGGGGAGCTGGGAGGGCTCAGGGACACATCCCAACCCCTCCAGGGCTCCAGGTCCCAGCCTGGGCCTTGGTTTGCCCACAGCCCTCCTGGCCCTGGGGTCCCTCTCCCACCCCTGGCGTCCCCTCTGGTCCCTGGGGATCCCTCTCCTGCCCCTTGGGGCCCCTCTCCCATCCCTGGGGGTCCCTCTCCTGTCCCTGGGGGTCCCTCCCTTGTCCCTGGGGGTCCCTCCCTTGTCTCTGGGGTACCCATGGAGCAGCTCCTGCCCCTCTTGCAGGGGGAGAGGAAGGGACCAGAGACCCCTCCGGCCGCAGACGACACAGAAACCGCCTTCTGCGAGCCAGACCCCCCCCAGCCGCAGGTACCGCCCTCCCCCCCGCCCCCCCCCCCCCCCCCCCCCCCCGGAGGGTTTGTGCCCCCCCCCCAGCACCCGATTTTCCTCCTCCCAGCCGGATTCCCCCCCAGCTGCCGGCGGCTCCGGGGACCCTGATACCGACTGAGGGTCCCGGGGGGGTCCCGTGGCTTCCAACCCCCCACCCGAGGAACACGAGGTGGCCCCGAGGGGCACCACGGGCACGGGGGGACCACGAGCGTGGCGAGGAGCCTCGGCCCTTCCCATGGATGCTCCAAATCCCGGTGGGAATGGGGACCCGCCTGGGACAGGGACTCATGTGTGCTGTGCCCCCCCCGTGCCAGGACGGGGCTCGGGGTGGTGGCACAGCTGAGCCAATAAAGTGGGATTTCACCCCAAAACCCCTGGAATTCCTCTACTGGGACACTCGGGGAGGCAGCACAGCCGAGCCAATAAAGCGGGATTTCACCCCAGAATCCCTGGAATTCCTCTGCTGGGATACTCGGGGCTTGGGGAGGCAGCACAGCCGAGCCAATAAAGCGGGATTTCACCCCAGGGGGCTCTGGGGGAAGGAGGTTTGGGGGCTCTTCTCTGACTCACACAGGGGACAAAAAAAAAACCCCAAAGAGGGTGGAAAAATCCCCCCGGGCCCCCCAAAGCAGCAGCTCCTCATGAACTCACCCCGGGGGTGACGGTGGGGACGGTGAAAATCTTCCCCCCACCCACGAGGTGTGGGAAGGGGGGGCGGGGGAAAGAAAAGGTGCCAAAGCCAAAGGAAACACCCCAAGTGGGGGGTCCTGGGGATTCGGGGCTCTGGGAGGGCCCCCCCAAGTCACGGTCGGGGTGCAGGGGAGGAAACGAGGACACCTGGAGGTGTGGACAGGGATCCATCGAGACCTTGGAGCCATAAATCCCAAATCCTTGGCCCCACAGACTCCAAAATCTCAGAAGAATCGACCCTACACCCCTGGCCCCATAAATCCCAAATCCGTGGCCCCACAGGTCCCAAATCCCTGACCCCACAGATCCCAAATCCTTGGTCCCACAGACCCCTAAACCTCAGCAGAAGAGACCCCACACCCTGGGCCCCATAAATCCCAAATCCCTGATCCCACAGATCCCAAATCCCGGACCCCAGAGATCCCAAATCCCTGATCCCACAGATCCCAAATCCCTGACCCCATAAATCCCAAATCCGTGGCACCACAGATCCCAAATCCCTGACCCCATAAATCCCAAATCCCTTGTCCCGTAGACCCCAAGCCCTTTGCCCCATAAACCCCTGAGACTTAAGAAAAAAAAAAGTCAAAACAGGTTTATTTTATTAAAAAAAAAAAAAATTGTACAATTTTAGTCCCTCTATGAAAAAAAAACAAAAACAAAA